TTGGGGGGGGGGGGGGGGGGGGGGGAGGAGGGGGAGAGTTAGATCCTACACTACAATAGGTATCCAAGTACTAAGAGAAAGGGTGAATTATGGACTTATTCCTCAGCTGATTTAACAGGCACAGCTCAGACTTCAAAAGGAACAATACTTTTTTACAACAGCAAGGATCGATTCCTGTAAGTTAAGAGAACATTTCTAGTCCAACATATGGTGTTAAATATAAATACTTGACCATATACATGGCATTCAACCCTGTACATCAATGCTTCTGACAAACATGTCGACGCTGTTGCCACAGAAACCATTCAGTTGAATTTCCTGGGTTTTTTTCTTCCTTAAACCAAATGGTAGCCTTAATGCAACATCTATCTTAACTAGGGAGTACTGTGTGCACAGTTATTCTGGTTGCTCAATAGCAGATTTAAAAATGAAACAGGGAGAAAGCTGTTAAAGAAGTACTGAAATAAAGGCTTACGGAAGTGTTTTCAGAAGCGCTCAGTACGAGTCTGATTCTCATGCCCACCAAAGGTCATGATAAAATAGATTTTAAATGGGAGCAGGGTTAGAGATATAGCAAGTGCTTTAAAAAAATCCTACCCTGCACTTGGAAATTTTCTTGAAATAGCATCCAGTAAATTTTCAGGAGTAGGTGAGCCCTCCGTTAAAAAGAACAACAACAAAAAAAACAAAAAACAAAAGACGACAAACCCATTTGCAAGCGATTACGTTTGTGAGATTGTTCCTCAGAAACAATGGAATGAGGAGTCTTCATGAGTCTTGCAAACACGCACCCCTCCAACCTAAAGGAAAAGCATGAGGATTTTCAATCAAATAGTCCTTCTCTTGAGAGAGAAAGGGCCTTGTTACATGGTTATTTTGGGCGACTCTGGGAGCTCTTAACCCTGGATTGTCCAGACATTAAAGTGGTTTTAACATCTTGTTATACAGCTCAAAGTTACACCACTCCAGGACAGGTTTATCATCACTGATCCGCACTACCCAACTACTGTTCCATTAAGGTGCAGCCACTCCTCACGGATGTGCAGCCCAATTTGAAGTCCTCCTGTGTCCCAGGATCTCACACCCCAACTCGTAGAGCAGGGATAGAGCTTGTCCTGGCTCACCAGCCCTGTCGTAGCAACTCACAGCTCCAGCTCCTACTCCTGCTCCTGCTCACCAGGCCTCTAGTGCCACGTCACAGCTGTGCAGGTGGGGGACAGTCAGAGAAGGCTTCTAGACTAAGGGTGTGACTGCTCCAAACTCCAAGCTAGCACTAACACAGATTGACACTTGTGCAGCTCACTGCATGTAGGGTGTAACAAGGCCCAAAGAGCCACTTGGAACTGCAGCTTCAAAAACAAGTAACTCCACTATGGCCATACAACCACTGCCATGATGGCAAGAGTTGTAAAGGTGCCACTTGCAACCACTTCTCTCTGGAGATATTTAAGTAGAGAAGAAACAAAGTAATTATCCTCTTTCCAAGTCCTCTCAAGCTGTAACAGCCCCTCTAAGGATGCTGCAAAAAACAGTGGCTTCCTGAGCCAGGAAACAATGTAGAGCAGTGCACTTGGCATACAGTTTAGAAACAGAAAAAGGGACAGTACAGCAACGTGTGCATCACACATTGCCCCAACTGACCCGCTTTCCAACTATGAGTGATGCAGGTTTTTGTTGCTTTATTCCACTCAATCCCTGCCAGCATGAGTGCACAGCAATGTCCCACTATTGGGTTTTTCCCATGATTAAACCAGCCATCTTTAGCTCACTCAAGATTAACAGATTTTAAGGTCAGGGGGGTACCCTGACAAACTGCTCCAGCTTTAAGAATAACCTGCACTGTTAAGAGTATAAGGCTTTCCTGACTTCAGCTTGCAGCCATTGGCTCTTGCTATGCACCTTTTGTCTGCTTGACTAAAGAACCCTGCAGTATCAGGTGACTTCTTCCTATGTGGACAATTATCCACAGGAATTGTATCATCTCTTAACCTTCTCATCCCTGAGAAGAAGGGCTAGATTCCCAGCCAAGATGCTAACAGGTCAGAATTGGAATCATGTGCGTTAGTGAGAGACTGTAGATACAATCTGTGTCCAAATTACTTCCAGTTTAAATAGACAAAAGAAA